GCCTCCTTTGCAGGGGGAGGCCTAGCTTCTCCCTGAGCCTCGGTGGGAATTTATCCAGACAGGGCCCCCCCAAGAGTGTGGGGCGCTGGAAGGGGGTGTGCGGGCCCTGACCCCCCCACACAGCTTCCTCTGGAGGTTTGCTGGGACTTGCCTTGAGTAAGAATCCCACATAGGAAACCCACCTAGGTGAAGGCTGTGGATTTAAAAAGAGCAAAAAAAAGCCTCTCCTACGTACACGAGAAGCCCCATTGTCGGGAATTTATTCAAACAAAAAACAACGTCACCTGTCATCCCACTGCCTGTGGACAGCAGGGCTCGGTCTGGTGCTACAGCCGGCCCTCTCTTCCCTCTCCCTCTGCTGCTCCTTCCTGCTGCGGATGTCGCTACCTCCTCCTCCTCCCCTTACGGCAGTTTTGTGACACCATTTTACAGCGACAGCACTAGCTCAGGGGCTGCAGTGTCATGTTGGCACTCTCCAAGTTCACTTGAGGCAGACCCTGGGTCCCTACCAATTTGTCCTCCAGAGCGGGGCTGCCTCCCTGGTGACACTGGCGGGAGCAGTGGCCATGGTGATGGGAAGTCCCAGCTGCCCCCACCCCATCCCTCACCTCCATTGGAGTTGAGGGGTGGAAGGAAAGGTGGGCAGAAAAGACTCTGGATCCTTCCCTGTATCTCTTCCTGACACCCCTTTGTTGACCAGGGTGGCAATTTGTTGACCTCTGACAGGTGGGAGGGGAGGAGGGTTCTTCCTGCCCCTTCTGGAGGGAGCAGCCTAGTCTGTGGGCCCAGATTCCTGACAAGGTCTGTGACCTTTGAGGGGTGCAGGCTTTGCCCAGGGGGTCTGGACAGGCCACAGTAGGCTGGGCCTGAGAGCCACTGGTCTCTACCTTGTTGGAGCCCGGCGGGTTCAGGAGGCAGCGTTATCAGGTGGCAGAGTGGACTTTGGCATCAGGCACCTTAGGCTGGAACAGTGGCTCAGCCACCCACCGTGTGGCTCGGGAAGGCTGCTTCGCTCAGAATGCGCCCCCCTCGGCGGTTGGGGGGGGTCACATGAAATCCCACAGGGAGCGGCGAGTCTCAGCCACCGCTGTCTGCTGCCGTGACTGCCTCCTACACGGCGGGGCCTGGCAGTCCCCTGCCGGTTACTTCAAAGACATCCCGGTGGAACCTGTGCACTGTGGTCAGCAGCTAGAGCCACGGGGCAGCTCTTATCTGCACCTGGACTGGCTGCTATGGGAACCGGCTATTGTTTGTACAAACACCTTGAAAACTGCAACTTAACCCTGGACAGGCCAGTGCCAGACCCTTTCTCACTGGTCCACTTGGCCCTTTCCTGCCAGGACCATCACTCTTTAGTGGCGAAGGAGGTTAGGCAGACGCCAGGTGGGCCCTGCCCTGTCGAGCCCAGATGCCTGCCTCCTCCTCATCCAGTTTCCTCTGAAACGCAGGGCCGCACTCATCAGCAAGGCTGCCAAGAAGAGGAAACATTTAATTAACATGTCTCTTTCCGATGCGCTTGTAAACACTCGGGCCCTGGACCACATGTCTAGTCTTAAGACTTCAAAGGGGCCTTGAAAGCCACATTTTGATGAGTTTGGTGTAAAATGAATCCGGCCCATAGGGATTTAATTTCCCTTGAAAACGGCACAGCCTGAAAAATTAACAAAATAATGGTTAATGGCAAAAATGAGTGCTCGATTCTTGTCAACCCCCCAAGTGTGTATTTTGAAATGGTTAACAAGATCGTTAATTTCAGTGCCCCTTGGCCTTTGTGCGGCTGGATGGAAGCAGGGGGTTCTGGGAAAAAAGTGGAGTCGGTCCAGGTCTCCCTTAAGGTGCGGAGGAGGGGCTTTGGAATCAGGGGAGTCCACTCATGAAAACTCCCAGAACACATCTTGTTTAGCTCATTTGTTTTCTCCTCACAATAGCAAATCACAACTCTCAGAGGGAGTAAAAATGTCACATCGCTCAAGGCAAGCTTGAGTTTGATTTTTCCCCTCTGGCTTTGTCCCAAGGATGCTGCCCAAACACTTGGTGGGAGGAATCGTTTTAAACAAAAGGATCCTTTTGCTTCGTGATAAGGCTTTTGTCTGGGCCCCTGAGCACACAGGGAACCAGCATATGTGCAAGGAATTTAGGGTGGCCCACCCCACACCCCTCTTTCTCAAGAGTCCCAGCAGGCAGGCCGGGGATGGGGAATTTACAAGCCTGACTCATGTGGCTCACGTCCAAGGGTGTTTCGCATTCTGGACTTGCTTTATCTCCCCGGACAAAGCTGAGATGAAAGAACCCGTGAGCCTTTTATTGCTCACATGACACCCTCTTTCATGACCACCGCCTTCCCAAGGCACCAGACGCTTCTCCCTGTTGGCGTGGACATTCTTAGGGCAAAACTGGCAGGTGATCTCAGAGAAGGAAACCCTGGCAGAGGTGCCAAGCCCCGGAAATGCCAGCTTCGGGCCCAGCTACAAGCAACCAGTGCAAGTAGCAGCAGAAACACCTGGTGCACGAGAAACGCTCAGAAAGCGCTGGGCCGAACGCTGCAGGTTCACGTCTGGATCCCAGTCCCAGCTCTGCCACCAGCTCTGTGCCTCAGTGCCCTCATCCATCAAATGGAAAAATAATGGGAAACTTACAGTCTAAGGTTAACCTCTAGAAAGATCCTACCACACAACCTCACCCCCACTGGCTGGGCAGACCACTCCCCACCCAGAGCTGCTGGGAGAGGGGCTGCCTGAGTATTGGGGAGACTCCGCTCCCCAAGACAGAGTGGAAGGGATATCCAACGAGGGGTGGGGGCTTGTAGGGCAGCCATTTAGATGGTGGTTACAAGCATGGGCCCTGCAGCAGTTCACTGACCCTCACAGGAAACAGTGCCTGGTTCTCTCTCCAATAAACTGGGCAGTGGGACCTACTGCTCAGAGTGTTTGAGGATGAAGACAAATGCATGTGAAGAGCACAGTGTCCATCCTGTGCATGGTCAGTTCACAAAATCACAACTATGCATGGAAGGGGCCTAGAGGAGTCTCCCCACCCAGAGCTTAAGCCCAGGAGGGGCTGAGGGACAGTGAGGACTGCGTCCTGGAGAGCCAGTGACAGCCCCAGGCTTGGGTTAGGGTGGAGCCTTATCAGTGGGCGGGGTGGGCCAGTGACAGAACCGCAGAGAGGCGGGCTGTTGGGGGTGTGGCCAGAAAGGTGGGAGCGTGCCCAGCTCCCACCCCAGCCTCCCCCGGTTTCCCAGCTTCAGCGTCCCCTTTCCTCAGCACAGGCGGAGGCCAGAGACAGGCCTGGGGCTGACCCCACACCTGCCCAGGGGTTGTTGATGGGTTTTACATGGGTTACTAAAGAAAATTATCATCGCGAATAACATTAACGCTAGGCACTTAGGATTATCTTCATTTTACAAGGGAGTTTGCAGGAGCTCAGAGAGTTTAAGAGGGTTGCCTGACATCACACAGGCAGTAACTACCAAGGCTGTGCTAAAACCCGGGAGCCTAGATGTAGGAAGCGGGCATGGAGCCCAGCGCTGCACGCGGGGGTCTGCACAGGGTGGGGCCCAGAATCCGAAGGCGGCTCTCCCTGCGGGCCGCCGGCTGCCCTTGGGCCAGTTGGAAGGCAGCACTTTGGGGGTGCTTCTCTGGTCCCTCCCACTCCCTCCCCTCCTGGGGAGCCTGACCATCCTGCAGGGGAGCCGGTGGTCCCCCGCCTGCTCTGTCTGCTTGTCCGCCAAGTGGGTGGGAGGTCGGCTGCCCGGCGGTCGTTGCCCTGGTGACCGCCAGGGGTCGCCTTGGACACGCAAACTGCGGCACCCAGCGCAGCCCCTGGGGCGGAAGGCGCAAGGTCACCAAAGCCCAGAGGAGGGGACACCCACTGCTGCCCTCTGCTCTCGGCACCTGGACTTACCAGCCTGGGGGCGGGGGCGGCCTGGGTCAGGGAGGCTTTCTGGAGTTCAGGGATCGGGCCCCGCCCCCGGGTCCTGCCACCGCTCAGCCCCGCAACTACCGACTTTCTCCCTCCCTCCTTCCCCACCACCAGCTGCCACAGAGCTAAGGTGAAGCGCCCTGCCCACCTGAGCCTTTTTCTAAGCACCTGCCTGTGCCAGGCAACACCCCAGAGGTACAGATCCGGCGTGGAGGCAGGCAGGGTACAGAGGCGCAAGCTTCCCGAAGCCGAGACATTTTGTGGTTTTGTTCGCTCGCAGCTCCTGGCACACAGGAGGCCCTCCGTCTGGAAGGAATGGTGCTCACAGCCAGGTTTTTAAAGCCTGGATTAAAGCGGTGTTTGCACAATTCATCAGTGACCACCGTGATGGAGGCCTGCAGACCCAGGTTGTCCCGTTTAACCAGCTGGCGCTCAATTTCCCAAACTTCCTCAGAGCCCTCATTCTACAGGTGGGAACACCGAGGCCCAGAGGACAGTCCGGCAGCTGTGTCCTTTCTCGCCTTTCAGAAGGGGGTCCCATCTGTACGTCTTCCCCCACGCTGCCTGGCTCCTCATGTCCATAGTTCAGGTCTCAGTCAAAGGACACTTCCTCTGGGAAGCCTTCCCTGACCAGCCTCCCTTTCCTGCCTCCCCTTCTACCCACCCAGTGCTGAGTCTCTCTCCCCTTCGGGACTGTGAAAGCCTGAGGACAGGTGCGGAGACTATTTATTGTCTTCACTAGCTGAGCATAGAGGAGACCCCCAAAAGTTAGTAACCTTTGAAGCCCTAGCAAAGGTCAGGGCTGTGCACCACCCAGTTAATCTAGATACCACCCAGTTAATTTAGGTAATGGTAGCTGAAGCATCATCCCCACCTTAGTTCACTTAATTCCTTAGGTACTCATGTAAATCCTTGTTGATTATTCTGCCTATTTCTGGAAATTGTCTGCTGATGAGCTAATCTGTGTGTCATTGAAATCTCCTTACCTAAGGGCTACCCCAGATCAATAAAAGATTGGAGCGGCCTGAGCATCAGTGGAAGTCCTTCTGGACTTGCCCGCCTGGTCCCCCAACATTTCCCAATTGTCTCTTGTCTCTTTTCTCTCTCATTTGTGTGCGGCTCCTCTTTTCAGATCAAGAACCCTAATCCACGCAGGACGTGGGAGGAAACACACACGACAGACTGGCAGCGTGGGGACTCTGTCCCTCCTCATCTACCTTTAGTGCCTGGCTCTGTGCCTGCCGCAGGCTCAAAAGCAAATGAATGTTTGTGGAATGAATAGGTGAGAGCTCAACCTGCAGAGTGAAAAGGTGAGTGGTACTCACCTCCTCCTCACTGGCTCTCACCCTGGAGGGCCCTGGTCAGGGGCAGAGGGTGCTGCGGAGTCCTGGTGGGTCCTCCTCGGCCCCGCCCTGCCTGTGCCCCTCCCATGGTGCTTGCCACACTCCATGGTAGTTTGTGTTTGTAATACATGACATGGGTTTTCCCAGAGTGAGCGTTTACTGTTGCTGAGCTCAGTTTCCTCATCTGGAAAAGCGAGTTAAGAAGCCTGGTAGTGAGTCGCTGTGAGGATTAAGTGAAACCCCTCAGGAAAACCCCAGCTCAGGGCCTGGGGCAGAGGTACCACCACATACCAACCACATGCCCTGGAGCAGGCCCAGCCTTGCCCTAAGCCTCCATTTCCCCATCTGAAAAGGAGGCTCTGAAAGCCCCTTAATCGAGGGGTGATTTAAAGCGTATGGAGCACGGCTGGTGGCAGGCAGGTACTTGCTGGACAGCCGCCGCTGACACTCATGGAGGGCTGCTCTATGTCAGGCACTGCCCAAGTGGTGATGCACTGGCCTAATGCCATTCCCTCAATGCTGAGGGTCCTTTCCATGATCCTCTGGATGTGCCAGTGAGGCCGTGTAGCTCTGGAGTGGCAGAGCTGTGTCTAGGAGTTGGCACCCAGAGTTGCCATGGCAACCCCCCATCCCCAGCCATGTGTCCAGAGCTTCCTGAGGGAGGACACTAGGCCTCTCTCTGGACCCCCTGGGATGCCTGGTGGATAGTAGGTGTACACTGAGGTTTGCTAAATGGAACAGAGGCAATGGCACCCCATGCATCACCCCAAGACCCCTGAGCCCTGAATCCCTCTGGGGCAAGCACCCTGGGTGGGTTGTGGTGGCTTTGCTCCCTTTTCCAGCTTGGTCTCTCCTGCAGCCTACGAATGGCCCCAGTCCCCGCTGTGCTCAGCCCCTCCTCTCCAGCAGGACCTTAGCAACCCAGCCCTCATTGGCTACACGTATCCTTGGAGACAAGACACCAAGAGTGCAAACACAGGCCAGAGAACTGTGGGCAGAGTGTTTCCAACCTCCCTGCCATGAGGGATCTGTTCACCTTCCAGAACCAAGCCTGCTGGGAGGAGCGCCTCAGGAAGGAGGCTGCCGCCCGAGCCGCCTGGAAGGTCAACCATGGCCACAAGTACCCCAGGGAGAGGTCCCTGCCCAGGAAGCGGCTCCAGCAGGCCCTCCTCCACTCAGCCCCGGGAGTGGGGTCCTTGCCTGCCACCAGCTCCCCTGACAGCAGGACCGGATTGCCAGAGACCCAGGGGGTCAGGGCCCAGCCGTCCGGGACAGTGGGAGTCCAGGAGGCCCAAAGAGCAACTCGGGAGCCCGCAGGCCAGACCAAACGAGGGAGCTTGGAAATGAGGCGGGTGCCCTCGAGCACCCGGCAGCTGCTCTTCCAAGGCCTCTCCCACGACGGCCAGGGCCGGGCCTTGTACCTCCGGGAGCGGAACCGAAAGAAGCCAGCGGAGAAGTTTCGGTATCCCGTCTTATCCTCCTGGGAGTACGGCTGGCACGTGGGTAAGGGCCACCGCCTCTTGCCATTCCAGGCCTTTGCAGGCAGCCTGGCCCCCTCCCCAGCCTCGTGCTTCATCGCCCCTCCCTCACCAGCACGCCCTCCTGGCTCACTCCCTCTGAGCAGGCAGGCACCTCCACTCTTCCAGGCCTTGGCACATCTGGTGTGTCTGCCTGGAATGTTCCTCCTGCCCCTCTCTCTGCTGGCTAACTTTCATATGTCACCACCTCTGGGAAGCCTTCTGAGAGTCCTCCAGGCAGCTTTTTGAGTCTGCAAACGCCCTGGGCCCACTGTGTCACCATTCCTTGAATATGCATCTGGTCTGGTGAGCCCTCAGGGTTCCAGGACTTCATAGGGAACTTTATTAATGTCCTCCCAGCTCCCAGCTTGGGGCTGGTACTCAGTGACATTGGAATGAATGTCAAATGAATGAATATAGCCTAGGGAAGGAGGGCTCCGTTTGGAATCAGGGAGTGTGAGCTCAAGTCCTGGCTATACCACTTCCATTAGGGGGGAGGGGGCGCGGTAGCTCAGCCTTGGGCAGGATCCTGGAGGTGCTCACATGGAGCCCTGGGCCAGGTGGGGTGCCACTAGACTGGGGGAGCAATGTGCTGAGGGGTGAGTGTGGGGTAGGGATGGGGATAAAATAGGAAACAATTGGAATGGCCTGCGTGCCATCCATCAGGCCACTTCCTGGCACTTGAGCCAAAGCAGGGCCTCCAGGTTGCCATGCTGTGCCAGGCGTGCCCGTTAGTTATTGGTCCTCGGGAGGAGTGGGTCCTCTGGGAGAGGCGGCGGCGACTGCTAACTGCACAGGGGACTCACTACTCCAACCACCAGAGCAGTGGCAGCAGGGGGTGCCTGCCGGCCTGAGGCCCTTCCCTTCGGGTTGGGCGAGGGCTGGCCGGAGGCGTGGTGCCCCCTGCTCAGCGGGGCCTTTTCTATGTTCCAGGGGATGCGGTGAAGAACACCAGGCTTTCAATATATGCTAAGTGCCAGCCCATCACAGAAACCTTTCACAGCAAATGTGGCGTCTTCCATTTTCCTCGGCGAACAGACCAGCTAATGTGAACTCCGCGGGATTCAGAAGTGGCTTCTTCCTTTGCCCTCGTCCACCTGGACCCAGCGGAGGGGAGATGCTGCGCCACCTGCCCTCCCTGTGTTGGCAGCCCGTCCCTGCTGGGCACCCCGGGACTCAGGGTGGCCCACCTGCTGCCTCCGTCTGCCCTCGGTGACCGCAGCTCCTCACAGAGCTCCCACCACCATCCCCAGCCTGTGCTACCACCAGGGTCAAACCCGAAACCCAAGTAAGTGCCCTGACCAAAACAAACCCCTTGTGTACAGGCCGATGCTCCAACCAACTGAGCCACACCAGCCAGGGCGATGGTTTCAGCTTTGTGAACCATCAGGTCTGCCACAAAACCACTCAGCTCTGCTGTTGTAGTGTAAAAGCAGTGTGGACAGAACATAAACAAGTGAGCATGGATGTGTTCTAATAAAACTTTATTTAAAAAAAACTGGTGGTGGGCTAGATTTGACCATAGTAGTAGTTGGCTGAACCCTAGGTTAAATGAAATATATTATTAAAATTAATTTTACTTTTTTTTGTTTCTTTATTTTAATGTGACTACTAGAAAATTACAAATTGGCTCACATGGCATCCCTATTTGATCTAAGCACTTTGCAAACTGAGGGATATTTTGTTCCCCAGGGAGAAGCCTGTGTGTGTGTGTGTGTGTGTGTGTGTGTGTGTGACTGTGTGTGTGAGTGTGTGTGTAGGGGTGATGTGTGAACTCCGATGATAACCTAACCAGAGCCTGTGGAGGTGGCTCCATTGCTTGGTTATCCACTGCTGAGAGGGAAGCCCAAGGGCAGACTGGCTGGCAGCTGCTTTCAGCGGGTGTTGGAACCTGCACCCTCTCTAGGTTCCTCCTTTCACTAAAGGGAAGTTACCCAAAATACCACCAGGTGGTGCTGTCCGTCTGCCGGGTATGGTGGTTGGACCGGGGAACCGCATTCTCCACTGGGCTCTGCCTGCTCTGCTGTGTAGCCTTGGCCTTCCCGTCCTGAGCTGTCACATGGGGTGATACCAGACTAGTGAAAATGTGCACTTTGGAGGCAGGCTGACCTGATTTGACTTCTGACTCCACTAGGCACATTATGATTTTTGTGGGTCTTAGGCACCTGTGACTTCATGAATCCCTTCTTACATTAAAAAAAGTAATAAGAGCCAAAACCGGTTTGGCTCAGTGGATAGAGCGTCGGCCTGCGGACTGAAGGGTCCTGGGTTCGGTTCCGGTCAAGGGCATGTGCCTGGGTTGCGGGCACATCCCCAGTAGGAGATGTGCAGAAGGCGGCTGATCGATGTTTCTCTCTCATCGATGTTTCTAACTCTCTATCTCTCTCCCTTCCTCTCTGTAAAAAATCAATAAAATATATTTTAAAAAAAAGTAATAAGAGTTATATTTTACATGGGGCCAGTGCGGCTTAGTGGTTGAGTGTTGATCCATGAACCAAGAGGTCCCGGTCCCCGGTCAGGGCGGGTGCCTGGGTTGTGGGCTTGATCCCCATTAGGGAAGGTGCAGGAGTCAGCCGATGGATGTTTCTATCTCTCTATCTCTCTACCTTCCTCTCTCTCTAAAACCAATAAAAACAATATTAAAAATGAATTATATGTTACAACTACATTGATTTAAAGAAAAATATATTAATACTATACATTAAAATTTTCTTCAACCTAAAATTTTATTTTTTCCTTCTTATTCTCAAAGAAATTAAAACACTTCCATAGCCCTAAAAGTCTCATGGGCCCTAGACCCTACCCCTACGATGCCTCATAGAGGAGTCGCCCTGGGCTCCACTCACCAGCGGTGTGACCGTGGGCAAGTTGTTTAACTTCTCTGGGCCTCGGTTTCTTCATCCATAAAATGGAGACAACAAACCCCACCTTTTCAGTGCTGTGGTTGGAATTTAGTGAGATAGTGTATACTGCCGTGCCTTCTTAGAACACAGCCTGGCACAGAGCAAACCTTGGCAAATGGCAGTTATTATTATCATTATTTATCATTATTACTATCTTTAAAGATATTTTCAACTCTAGCTTCTATGAAACTACTAAAATTTCTCAAGCAGAAATCTCAAAATAAATAAGTCAGAAAAGTGAAATGAAACATCCAGGATATTTGATAGGGGAAATAGAATTTCCTAAAGCAAAGTGGGTCAGGAGGAATTTTTACAAATGACAAATACGTATTTTCTCCTGCCATCGGGGAACTCACAGAAGTAGGAACGTGGGCTTACTCCAATCAGCCCGAACCTGGGACACCTGGGGAATATGTGCCAGCTGGGCCGACCCTTGAAAAAGGTGTGTGTGTGTGTGTGTGTGTGTGTGTGTGTGTGTGTGTGTGTGTGAAGCATTTGTCTTAGAGAAGGGGAGATTTGCATGGAGGCCATCAAAGCTTTAGACCTATGGGGAGAGAGAGACTGTGTTTGCAGGGAAAAGGGGCAAAGAGGGAAGGGAAGGCAGAGGGAACAGCATGTGCAAAGGCCTGAGGCAAGCAGGTAAAGAGCAAGTTCAAGGAACCACAGTGGCCTAGCTGGTTTGGCTCAGTGGATAGAGCGTCAGCCTGCGGACTGAAGGGTCCCGGGTTCGATTCCAGTCAAGGGCACATGCCCAGGCTGTGGGCTTGATCCCCAGTGGGGGGCATGTAAGAGGCAGCCAATCAATGATTCTCTCTCATCATTGATGTTTCTATCTCTCTCTCCCTCTCCCTTTCTCTGTGAAATCAATAAAAATATGTGTGTTTTTTAAAAAAGGAACCTAGTGACGTTTACCTTTAGTGGATTTTAAGGTTTTAGTTCTTCTGTTCTGTTGACATCCCATTTTATATCCTTCAAATATTATTTGAGAAACTTTAATATACTAGAGGGCAATTTTTCAATCCCTAACTTATGCCCTCAAAAATCATTCCTTAACTTTTTAAATTAGGTGTTTCCATCTGGATTTCTAAAAGAAAAAATACAACAATTTACTACTCATTATCTGCTACCTTTTGTTCAAATATTTTCTTTCTGTAAAAGCTATTATCATTTTAAAATCTAGGAAACAGTGTTCTTGAATTTGTATTTTTAACTGAAAAAAATCATTCATAAATTAACATACAAAAATGTACAAACACAGACATTGGACAAGTAATTACATGGGTAACGAGGGTTAAGAAGGAGCCATACAGGGCGCTGTGGGAAGATGTAACCCAGGGTCCCAGAATAGATGAGGGAGCTGGTCAGAGAGGGCCTCCCTGACCAAGCGGGGTGTAAGCTGAGTTTTGAAGAATGAGAAAAAGTTTGCTAAGTGAATGGGGGAGAAGAGCAATCCAGGAGAGGGAACAGCACATGAAAAGGCCCAGAGGCTGGGGAGAACACGATGAATGGAGGAACTAAACGGTGTGGCTATAGTGTACAGACGGTTGAAAATGGGAGTTGGAAAGCTAAGTCAAAGCCAAGACGTACGGGGCTTTGCAGGATCTGGTAAGGACTTGGGTCTTTATCCAGAGAGAAATGGGGAGCCATGGAGGGATTTAGGCGGGGGGGGGGGGGCCCCCGCACAGGATGAAATTTGCATTTTAGGAAGCACACCCTGTTTGTTGGGAAAACAGATGATAGGGAACAACGGTGGAGGTGGTGGGACTAGGGAGGAAGCGCCTGATTATCACTGAGCAAGACTCTGTGACTGGGACTAGGGCAGCCCCCGTGGCCCTTGGCCCTGAGGAGCCTGGCGCCTGTCTGCAGCTTTGTCTCGCTTACATGGGACCTGGGAAACCAAGCAACCACTCGGCTAGTGTTCCGTTCAGGGCACCTACAGTTTCCCAATCCATTTTCTCTGAAGAACCAAGTGAGTGTGTGTGTGTGTGTGTGTGTGTGTGTGTGTGTACACATCCTTGTTCGTGTGTGTGTACACATCCTTGTTCCCTTGAAATTCCCTTAGTGTCACTTCATTTCAGTAGCTTCTCTGAACGCTAAGGCTTGGAGCTGCTGGGGCCGGGTCCTGAGGCCCGGGGTGACCCACTCTCCTTCAAGACGTGACTGTGGCTAAGACTCTGTGACCTCCCACCCCAGCCACGACCTGTGACCTCCGCCTTCAGGACCATCTGGGTGGAAGCTCTGATGTGATGCAGGTGTGACCCCTCTCCTGGCTCTGCCCTCCCCATGCCCACCTGGCTGGGGAGAGGGATGTGGGGGTCACTCCCCTCCCCGGGTGTGGAGCTGCCTTCACGTCCTTCTCCAGCCCAAGGGACAGGAGCTGCTGGCTTGGAGCCGCCCCTTCACCCCACCCACAGGGACAGGATGAAGGGCAGGGCGGGGGGAGGCAGGAAAGGGGTGCTGATGAGGAAGAGAAAACAACAAGGGCTGGAAGCAGGGGCGTCTCCATTTCTCGGGGCTCACTTGCCCAAATACTTGCTGAGGAGAAGGATGAAGTGGGTGGTGAAACTCATTCCCAATCATTAGATAAGAGCCACATGCACCCAAACTTAAAGTGGCCACCCTTCCACGGAGCGAGTCCTGTGCATGAAAACCCAGCTCCATCTGTGGAGGGCTGACTGGTGTCGGGCACGTGGCGTTTTACCTGCATTATCGTGTTTAAACGTCACCTGTGCGGCCGATCCTCTCATTAACCCCATTTGGCGCTTCAGGAAACGGAAGGTACTCGACCTGCTCCGTGTCCCACAGCCAGGATGGCTCCAAGTGGGCCTGGCCCTCCACAGGCTGTGCCTCCTCTCGCTAAGGAGGTCTCGGAGAGTGAGTTTAAACCTGGTCCTCAGTAAATAATTCATGAACGAAAGGCCTGGCCTGCAGCCACCGGGGGCTTGTTAAGTGGGCCGGCTCGGGGCGGGGCTGGGGATTCCCGAGGTAACAGGTGCGCACAGTTTCAAACCCTGTGAGCGAAGCTGAGGCTGAGAGAGTGCCTACGACCAGGCGCGCTCCCCAAAGGGCCATGGGAGCGCCATCCAGGCAGGTGACCCAGGGCAAGGGGGGTGGCGGGGGGGGTCTGCAGCTGCTTCAGGCTGTGGCCAGTGAGAAGCCCCACTCTGTGCCCCCCCCACCGCCCCCGTGCCCAGCAGTTTGCCCGAACTGAGAGCTGGCAGATGCCATGGCTCCTGTAATCTGCACTGTGCAGGGACAGAGGGACAGAGGGACGGAGGGATGGCTCATCACCGAGGAGGCCGCAGGGTGGGGGGGCCAGGTCAGGGCCTCGGGCACCCTCTCTTAGGGTCTGGTCCTCTTCCCCTGCCCCCTCCCCCGACACCCACCAGCACAGGACTCCCGTCCCAGCCACGACACTGGCCCCGTGGGCACAAGGACGCTCTCTCCTGCGAAATAAGTTCATTTGTGAAGTGCCGGCTTGACCGTTTGGACCTCGGAAACTGGACGTTTTCTGGGGCGGCCCTTCTCAGAAGACGGGGCGACAGAAGCCTGACAGCCTCGCCACCTCCCCTGCCCACGCCAGCGAGACCTCTGAGGTTAGTTGGATGTTTGGAGAAATGGTTTTCCCCGCTTAAGCAGGGCCTTTTGATTTCATTCCCTGGGATGTTACC